AGCTAAATTATGATTTAGTTTTAAAGTAATGATTGCATTTCTTATTTTACGAAGTCTGTTTCTGTTTAAAAACATAGTGTTGCTTCTTTTCTTAAAACAAGCTCACTTAAAATAGAAATATTTTGTTGCCATAGCAATGTTTTTCCCTTTGTAATTCTGTTATTTCGGGTTCACTGCAAACTACTCTGCATACCCAGAATTCAGAGATGGAATAAAAAAAAAATGCTTCAGATCATTTCCTCCATCCTTTGGACAGCATATGGTTCGTGTCTACAGCATGTATTAGAGCTAATATTTATTTATTCATGGTGTTATCTAGTGTCATTTGAAAATAATACAATTAAACTTATTTATCATTATCCAAGCTCATTTTCAAATTTCTAGTGTTCTCTTTTGGTACAGATAAGAAGTCCATCCAAAAGAACTCTTTCCCACACCATCATATTGATAGGTAGTAAATATTCTAAAACCAGGGTGTATTATGCTGTGACCCTCTCCATCAACGTACAAAATTTATGTGACTGCTCTCAGAGAGTGCTTTCTGCTATCTGCCCCATTTACTTGGCTCTTGCCTCCGGAAGACCAGACTGAAGATCTGAGGAGAGCTTTTTATATCAGGGAGCAGCCTTACACTGAATATATTAATACATTTTTTATGCTTACTGGCATGCAACTAGTGTCAAAATACCAGGGCCAAGACAGGCTTATACTACCATTACACAGAATAAAAAGATGGAACACTCAATGAACTAATATATAAGTAGCAATGGGTAAGAGTAGCACTGACTGTAGGTATACTGCTTGCAATCATGTACCATTTTGCAATGAATAGTAGGAGTTGTTTCTAATCAAATGCATTTTTTCCACTTGTATATTCCTAGCCAAAGGCACTACTTTAATATAATGTGATTTACAGTGCTGTGAGAAACCTGAAACATAGCATCACTGTCATTGTAGGAGATGAAACGCACTAAGAGCTTGCTCCTCAGGGGAACGGAAGAGTGCAGCATGCCACTGACAGGCTGACTTGTTTTTCAGTCCTCAGGAGCTCCTCTACCTTATTCTTGCTTCCAAGCTCCCCTTAAAAACTACCCTACAAAATATACTGTCAAGTGCACTAGCAGGGCTATTTCTACCAAGACCGGATGTCTGCATTTGAATTGTAAATCACAACCAAAAATATATCTCAGGGGCCTTGAAATGTTTACCTCAGTCACTGTTTTCCCTCCTTTGGCTTCCAAGGGAGAGAAAGTTCTAATAATAACCTTATAAACAACTGGGCTTTAAATGTATCAGGTAGCTGGGCTGGCAGAGCATCGAGCAGCAAGTAGCTTTGTCAACAGTGTGGTGCTCACTTCACCTCAGGATTAGATTAGGAGGACTGCTTTTATTACTGGACATTTACAACTCTCTGTTCTTTTTGTTAGACCATGCTCTGAGCTACTCTATTTAAAATAACATTTTACTGTAACTGTTGAATACAATAAATTATGATCACTGAAGCAGCACCATTGTCTTGAAACTTAACAAAAAATCAGTAGGTGGGCAAGGAATTGCAGATGTCTTACAGTCTAGGTTTGGGGCTCCTGAACTCGAAGATAAGGACATGATTCCTGGAATTCTCCCAGACTGATCTTCAAAAGAAGTCATGGGAGAACTTGCAGGAGAATTCAGCTGGTACAGACAAATCATGAGGCTTCTCTTCTTACATTGCTGAATATAAAGCTCCCATGTTAAAATACTGTCTTTTCTCCTTAAATAACAGTCATCTTTGAATAAGTAAAACCTGTAAAATGAGTGCAGCTGTTTGTCCCTGACTGTAGCTGTGCTCTGGAACAACATCATTACCAGCAAGCCTAAGTGACAGTCTCCACCTCTGCAGCAACACAGAAATCACACAGAGGACTCCTTGCTGGCAAAAAGCATGACATACTGTACCTTCTGCTAGGGCTTTGCAGTCAAAGACTATAACAGCTTCATCTGCCCTGTGAATTCAGCTCAGAAAAGGGGTCCAGCCCAACGCTTCAGCATGGGTGTTTCAAGGCAGCTTCAAACCTCCCACTTATGGATCTATGGCTACCTCAGTGTCCATCTTGACCCACTACTTCCCTTCCATTACCATAACATTTACCTGCTACCTGTCTCATGGAAGCACAACCATTTCTCCCCCCATAATAAGTCTAAAACTTCTGTTTTATATGAGGAAGCTGTTAAAAGATGGTTATTTCTGAGTGTGAGTAAACCAGATAGTTTTGAAAATCATTCAAATATAAATCACAAACTTGAACTGCACCTTCCCTTTTTCTGTGCATGGTGCTTGACTACAAGTTACAAGTCCTGGCAGAAGCACACTTCCCAAAGAAAACAAAGGCTTTTCAAAGCAAATATTCCCATGGATTTCTCATAAATACTTAAATCTTGCCTAAAGAATGATTTTCAGAAAAAAAAAAAAAAAAAAAAAAAAAAAAAAAAAAAAGCACTTGTAGAGATCACTACCATCCTCTCAGTGAAAACATGATCACAAAAATAAGTGGTGAAGTGGTGTGTGCATGAAACACTCCTACACTGTGTTAAATGAGACAAATTTATTTTACAATATAAATTCATTTTCTGACATACAGTCAAATGGAGAAGGTTGCAGCCAGACTAAACTCTACTGTGAAAAATGTACATGCAACACCTGCAGAAGTCATACACACTCAACATGAGAATATAGTTTGCCTTACAGGACAGAAAATTTGACTGGTTGCTTAAAGCTCTTCTGAAATGTGAGAGCAGGGGAGAAAAAGTTAGTTTATCAGAACAAGGAATGAAGGACAATAACTTTGCAGGTACTCCGCCAACCCAAAAGGTTAGGTATTCAAGAATGGTGCTGCCTTGAAGAAAAGCAGGAACAGATATAAACTTATACTTTATTATACCTAGGACAATGAAAGTGGAAATGCAAATGAAAGATTCCCTAGTGAAACACAGGTTCCAGTACAAACATTTTTGGAAGGCAAAACATAAATTTTGCTTATGCAAAAAGAATTCTCTAGACATCCTTTTGTAGTCTCCCCGAAGTCCAGGAAAATGAGGGCAGACTGCTGCCCTTATGCTGTTTGAAACAGCCATTGCAAAAAAAAAGTAGCAAAAACTTCACTCCAGCAGGGCTTTTTTGAACTTCACTTTCTAAGCACCCTTTAAAAAACTGACTTGTAAGTGTGTATTGAATTTCCAAACCCCACTAAAACAGAGGGGCAGTAAACTTCTGTTGACTGTTGTGGGTTTCTTTGACAGAGCCTGTTGAGCCACATGTGTTTGCAAAGATAATTCAATCTGCTGTAGGCTACTTGGGGTACATAGCAGTACTTGTTAGCATCTGACCCTCCACCTATGCATGGGAAAGGGCTTTTTCTAGTATGAATCACAGAACCAAGCCAGTGAGAGAACCTAAATGTACCTTGAGGGACCTCAGAAGATGTGCTCATCTTGGCTACCTCTGTTCATATACGTGTGATTCTGGGCTGTTGGCTAACTATCCCTCCCTGCTGATGAGGTCCACAGTCTGGATATTTTGGGGACCTTAGCCAGAGCAAAAAGGCCTACTGCTTCCTTGTCTTCTCAGCTTGTTCCTTCATCTCTCTGCTATACTGATTGTTATCATTTGTCCATCTTGCATTACTACCCATGGATACTGTCCAGGTGTTACAGAAATTGTACCACCACACAAATAAATGATTTCCTTCCCTCCACACACATATATCCAAGGTCTGATTTAAGTCATATGACACTAGACAGCAGATGGGTGCGACAAGCAGATGGGAGGAGCAGAAGGTTTTGGCAAGCCAACACTGATGAGTACAACAAGCAATGGTTACCCCATACCTGCTGTTTGCTTAGTGCTTGTCCTGAGTGTTGCAGGGGTCATGAAGGAGGAGAGTTTTAAGGATGGATTTGCCAAAGGGCAGCATGGAAGGGAGAGGTGTCTTCACAGGGAGCTTACTCCATTCACAAAGTACCTGGGAGAAGGTGCAAGATGGTCCCTTCTGATGGCTGTGCTTGTGTTCTGCTCCCTGGCGGCTTAATGTGTGGCAGTCAAAAGCATTTTTAAATTGTTTTTGAGAAACAAAAGTTCATATGTAAAAGAATTTTCTTTGGTTCTTTCCTTTTCCCCTGCAGAAAACACCTGGGTAATTGAATGTACACACACTAATGTGCACATGTCTTCCCCCCTCAAACAGAAAATACAAGATTATATGGAGAGGTAAAGCACACAAGTCAAGAAATGTCTCAGTGAAGTGCACACGGGCTTGTTCCCTTGAAAACACGGTGTTCCCTTGAGTTGAGCAGTCACAGGTCTAAAAAACAGATGGGTCTCCAAAAGGTCAGATTATTTTCAGGCATTTTTCACCTTTAACCAAATAATTAAACCTTTTGAGATTCTTCAGTGCTACTAAAAACTTGCCCTTGGTATTTCACTGCATAGAGAATGCTCATTTCCCTTCTAGTGGAAGATGACTGAGATTTTAAGTGCTTGCTTATGGGTTGCACAAAAGAAGCCTGAGGTCTAATGACTCAATATTAAGCAGTAGTTTCAAGATGAATGCTGGAAACTGGAGAAATCCCTCTTAGGTATTTATGTGGTTTAAAGACTAAGTGAACTGCACGTTTCCGTTTAGCAAATCTGTGGTCAACTTGATCACTTTAATATGGCAGCTGAGGTGGCAGGAGAAGGAAGTAAAGAGATTTATTGGAAAACCATCAGCTTAAATATATATCAGACCACAGAAAGTTTCCAAAGTCCCCAAAGGCCAGTTTTGCTTTTTTTTTTTGTGGCTGTGTAGGTCTTTTTGTTGTTGTTGTTGTTGTGTTTTTTTGGTTTTTTTTTGTTTGTTTGTTTGTTTTTTTTTGTAACATATCTAGCTTAAATGGTAAATAATAAGTGATAATAACAACCAGCTGGTTCCCATAGAATAGAAAGTGGCTGAAAGAGCAGCTGCCATTCTGCTTTCTCTCATTCCCCTTGTCAGAGCTTCATAGTGTCTGTTTAATGTGGTATATTAACAGCCCTATCATGAGTGGAAATATTACACCCCAAATCCTCATGAGGAGCTCTAGTGAGCCAAGATTTGATTTCTGTGGATGTGGTTTTCCAGCGGAGCTGCCTCAGAACCACAGAAAATGTTCTGTCAGAAATTCAGGGGGACATGCTATCCTGCACAGTAAGAAACAGGGCCAGGCTTTGCAGGATAATCTTCTGGAAGATGAAAGAAATGGAAATGCCCTGTTTCTTTTACTTGCATTGCATTTGGGGATTAATTTCCCAATAAAATGCCACCATCTTCTTAGATGTGCAGGATCTAGGCACTCGATTTCCACTGGCTTTCCTGGTAAGTGTTGAAATCCTGTGCATTGCTGAAAATATAGGGGTTCCCAATAATTTTGGTAGAGGCTTGTTCCTGCCCAACTGACATTGGTGGAGGTTTATTACTATCTGAGATTAGCTTTTAAAGTAGTAGCTATAATTTCGCAGGTAACAGATTCATGTGATTCATCCCATACTCTTCTTAAAATGCTGCATGTTTTTTTTTGTTGTTTGTTTGTTTTTTTGTTTGTTTGTTTGTTTTTTGTTTGTTTTGTTTTGTTTTGTTTTTCCCAAAGAGTTTTATGACTTCTTCAAGAAAATTGTCACTATACTCATCACCCCTGCAGGCCTCCAAGGCCTCGGGTCCTCTGGGAGGAATGTGACCCAAGAAGGCCCAAGCTGTCGGTGGTGGTGTGAGAAGTGAGCAACCAGGTGCAGAGCAGTTAAACATCCCTTATGGCATCACAGGAGCAGGAATGTGGCCTTGTTTCAGGATTGGCTCTGCAATGTAACGGGATGGAGAACCAAAGACCAGAAAGAGCTGCAGCATGGAGGATTAGGATGCTCCCCAAGGCTTCCACGCAGAAGAGAGCCAAGAGCCTTCTGTACTTAACAGTAATAACTTACTTATACTTACATCCCCAGAGTGTTGTGAGGCTTAATTAGGTAATGTTTGCAAAGTGCTATGCAGATGCAAAGAGCAATATAAGCACTAAGTATTATTAACTGGTAGAAGATTTCCATGCAAGAGGTCTCTACAGTCTGTTGGAGCTAAATGATTCAGCAGGTTCCCCAAAATTACGGGGCAGAGCAGAGAACTCTCCCTCAGAAACACGAGTCCACTTTCACAGCCTGCCTTTCGCACCCCAGGGCCCGGGATCCCAAATTGCCTCTGTTACCCTGGCCTTCTCAGCACCACATCCTGAGGGAAGGCAGGAGGAGGAGTTCACTGAGACCCTCAGCAAGACAAGGACAAGGCCAAAGCGGCCTGAACTGAGCATTGTTGGCTCTCTGCCAGGATAAGGACAGGTTTCTGTTCTGTGACATGGTCGCAGATTGAATTATACCCCAGTACCTCTCCCAGGTTTCTTTTTCCCAGTCAGATAAATGGGAGACCTGCCTCCAAGCGGGCATGTAGCCCAGTTTCCCTGGGCCCCCAGTGCTGTCCTCCCGGGTACTGTGCAGGTGAATGTTTGTGCTATTGCAAAAAACAGAGGCTATGTGAAGGGAGGGATCCTGCACAGCTGTGTGACTGTAGCACGATCACAGCCCCCAGAGGGGGTGTCCAAGGGAAAGCTTTAAGAAAGGATAATTTTTTTAAATTCTGGTAGTTGAAGTGAAGGTTGAATGAGAGTCAAAAATAAATATCAGACTCTTCTGAAATTCACCCATGCCTAAATGACAGCTTAACTGTCAGCCTGCCTTCCCTCTCTGTGAATGTAAGTGCCTGAAGTATGGAGAAAAGGAGCCTACTTGCCCCACTGAGTCCCAGCGGGTCTCCTGGCTGCTGTAGCACCCAGCTGAGCTATCTCAGTGGAGAGCTGGCAGGGGACAGAGCCTGGGAAGCTCCACAGGGGACAGAGGTGGTGGGGAAATGCTGATTTTTTTCCAAGCTTGGCTGCTTGGCGTATATCTTGCCAAGTGGAAAAGCTGCTATGATTTTCTATCCCACATTTTCTGGACAACTGTAATTGGCAAAACTGAGCAATAAATTCTTGCGTGACTTACGGCATGATTGCTATACTTTTATACTTGTACATAAGCTGGACGCTATGCACACAATTGACAAGCTGGAAATCTTCAGTTGACACACAAAAAACAAACAAAACAACAAAAATATCTCATATATGGTTCTCCAGACATGATAGGGACTAGAAGTCATGTGATGTATTGATGTTTAGTTCTATTGATGTTTAATTTTCCATTCAATTTCCAGCATGAGAATTGCTTGAACAGTAGCTGGTTACAAATGTGTTTTTTACAATTTTTATTATTCCTGCCTTTTTGTTCTTTTTCTTTTATACTACCTTTCCAGATGGATTATCCAGTTGGCCATGTACAATAATATCTCATGTCTTTACACCAGAAGGAAAGTAGATTTTTTGGCATCTGAAAAATACAGTGATATAAAAATACTACATCCAAATTCTTTAGATTTCTTTTCCCATCTTGGAGTCATCATGAATGAGGTGTATATCAGTCAGTGTTGCTGTACTGGTGCAGCTCACCGCAGAGATTATGCTTGGCCATACACAAAGGCTGCTGGTGCCAGCTTGTGCCACAGATACCCTGGCAGCCCCGGGAGGACTCTGGACTTTCACCTCCCTCTGCCCCTTGGTGGCTGTGGGCAGTGGTTTGCTTCCTGCTCATCATGAGTGTCCCCTCAAGGCTCCAGCCAGAAGAGGGGTTACCCTCAGGTGCCTGGGAAGAGGACGTGCTACAAAACAGAGCAATTGAGCTTTGCCTCCACCAAGAGAGCAACATATACATGTATATATATATGTGTGTGTGTGTGTGTATATATACGTATATATATATATATATATATATACACACACCAGCACTCCTTACCCTGCTTCTCTCTAGACATGTATGGCACCAGCACATAGCCTGCCTGCTAAGGCAAGCCCCTCGACACTGCACGTGGGTAAGCATGTAAAGTGACCTCATCCTACCACTGCTATGTTGATGCAACACTGTGCTCAGTATTGAGCATCCAACTCCACTGAGTGTCCACAAATTATAAATAGAATAAAGACAGACCTTAAAAGGCTTTCCTAAATCTATGTTATCTAATTCAAAGTCTATAATACTCATATACATATAGAAAATACCATACTTCTAAGAATTTGATATTAAAAATCTGCTTGCAAGTGTTTGAATAATTGGCCAGAAACAGAAGAAACAATGCAATAACACAAAACAGAATCAAAATTTAAAAGGAATTTCAGCCATGAGAGAATTGCAAAGTGGATATGTGATTTTTCAAGCTTTTCTTTGCCATAATACACACCAAAAAAGGGGGGGAGGGGAGAGGGGGAGTGAGCTACCGCTCCCAACAGAATATTTTTTCCTGCCAGCACATCTTAACAGAGGGATGTTCTCTCCTTCCCACAGAATCTGCATTAGCAGTGAAGGCAAAGCTGCTTAATACAGACCCTGAAAACGGCATGTGTAAGATATCTTACCAGGTGGATTTTCATTTTTTCAAATAGCTGTACACAATTCCTTTGAAAGCCTATTTGTTTTAATAGGTCGCCACAAGCTAAACAGCTGCCACATTTCCTGTCAAACACAATGTTGGCTCTTTGTGGTTTTCTCCATTCCATCTCACTATAGATCAAGTTATGAAGACTCATCTTGTAACCAAAATAAACACAACCAACACGCACACGTTTTCCATGATACTCTAAGATCATCTGTTATTAACAAGGCTTTTGGTAACAAGCCCTTTTATGATGCATTTATTCAATGTTCGTCCTTCCTAAAGAGTGGTGAATAGTTAATTTGTTTTCTATGCCATACTTTGTGTAGCTAAATAATTAATCACATTGATATTCTATCAATATATCTTTCTTTAATGGTTAAACATGTGTTAATAATTCAAATATCTATGGGTGACCTCTTTGCACTCCAGTGATTTTCAAAAACCCCAGCGCTCTTTGAAGGCAGTCTATCATTATCATGTACAGCACAAGTTAAAAGCCTTTTGTTCTTTTCTTTTTCTCTCCTCTTCCACTGGTATGCCCCTTTCTAGGCGAGGTCCTGTGGGCCAGCAGCAACCTGGGGTTAGTTTTAAGTGGAAAAGCAAAGTTCAAGGGTTTTGAGCTGCTGATGCAGTTACGATACTTAAACATGGAACAACCAGCTGGGCAGGCAGACACGTGCTGCACTGCATAAACCTCTTTATACTCATCTGGTGAAGCTTTTCAGTTGTGATTAAATTCATCAACTGAGTCTGAAAACCTCAGAACTGGATTCTTGCCCAATTCACGGGTTATGCAATTATGAGTTATTAGAGTCCAGCAGACTAATGATGTTGCCAAGCCCCAAAAGAAGCTGACTGCTCTAAAATACTGTGGGTTAAAAATGCAATTATACAGCCTCTTCTATAAGACTTTTGCACATACTTCCTGCAATAACAGCAACATTTTCAGGCAAACTAGTGACCCCTGCATAATAGAGCTCAGACATTGCAAATATGGAGCCTTTCTCTTACACCCTGTGAGGAATCAATGGATACACTTTTCCATAGATTCACCGGAGAGTGGGTATTTTACTGTCCAGTTTTCTGCTTTTCACAGGTGAAGAATAGGGCTAACTTTGGAAAACCTACAGTAGAAGATTACAGCAGAGACCATAAATTGCAATAGATAATCCCGCATTCACGCCCAATGCTTTAATATAAAAACACACTTCCTCCTTAAAGTTAAAATGATGTATGATGAGAATTGTTTATCATCCAATGACTCCTCGCGTGTACTGTTGCAGTGGTTTCTCCCAAAGGATAGGCCACAAATCTTGTTGATTTAATGTTGCTGATTCACACATTTTGGAAAGAGAAGCTGGTTTCTTAGGGAAAGGCTTAGGGATGAATTCTGGGAATTCTGGAAGTGTGATCTTGGCCAGCAGAGCTGGAGAACAGTGTTGCCATCTTTTTTTCTTGTCTACTCCTGTGCAAAGCAACAGCAGTGACTGGCTTAGCATGGAAACAGGCTGCAGAGTGGCAGCTGGAGCCAACTTAGTTCTGCTGTGCAGGGAATCAAAGTAAGGAAACAAATGTATAGAGAGGTAGGTGGAAAGTATGTTTTTAGCTAACACCTCACTATCTCATAATCAGTCCTATTGGACATATCTTAGGAACACAGTTTTCTTTCTCTGGAAATACCTCTTACTAAAAGCAAGAGGAGTAGAATAATCTACAAGGTGACATAAGAACCTTTTTAAAATTCCTTAGATTTTTACATCTGTTTGGACAAAAATGATTACAGCCATTTGTACAGGGCCTATACCATTTTATAACATTTATTGTACTATATTTACTGAACATAGAAACTATATGCTGAAATACTCTGCCATATCTCCAATTTCTGTAAAGTGCTGAGAACTTAAGGCTGTTATTCAGAGACCAGTTCACGAAAATAAGCATGTTCAGGAAAGCTATAAAAGCAACAACTTACCCTGGCGCTTCAGTGACCTTGTCTTACTAAGTGTTTTTCCAAAATACATCTGGAGATTAAGGTATGTTTGAATACCAAGGCTCCTGCTGATAGGGTAACCCACAGAGAGTGAATCCACAAAGATTTGCCACATGGGGTCCCCTCTGAAGGGACTTTGGTGAGTACCAGTAGATTTTACTTGTTAGCACAAACTCTGTGCAAACCAAGAAGAGGTTTTGAAATAACAGGTCAGAGTCAGGCTGAGATGTGTTTGACAGAAAGCCAGACTCACCACAACAAAAATTCAGGATGAACAAAGGCACACAAACTCCATGTGTTTTTCTTCTGTTTTCTTAAGGCAGCCCACACCTGCTAACCCAAGACAATGACCATGCTCCCAGCTGTCAGTCAGCTCATCACTTCTCCGAAACAGAAATCTTCCCAGGAATTCCAGGGCTTTGTTTTTTCTGAAATAACTGTGTCAGAGTCAAGGGGAGACCTTTACCAACAGCGTATCATGGGCAAAGCTTTGAACAACACACACTATACCACGTGGTCAGATACTTTGTGGAAACTCTCCTGGTTTACAATATCAAGAAAAATTCCTACATCTCTGAATCTGCACATGGTGGAGGAATCTATTCCAAAACAAAGCATAATTCAAAGTTCAATGTTTCGAATGTTTATTATTTTATCTGTGCCTGCTTTTAATATTTGCATCAATCTCCATGGGAAAAATAAAAATTAAAATTAAAGCTCAGTTCTAACATCATGAGAAATATTATGAATGGAAACAAAGCCACACACAACAGCATTGGAGGCCAACATGAAAACAAAATTGGCCACATTCATGCAAGGCTCTGGCCCAACAGTTCAGGCCCTCCCAGACTGTAGTAGACATTGAAGAAGATTCATGCCCAGAAGGACAGCATAAGCCTTTCATTAGGTGTGAGGGAGAGTTCTCTCATCCCTTATTGAAATTCACTTAACACTGGCCATGAATAACATCTCTTCAACTGAGTCTTTAATTTCTTTTTGGCTTTGTAAAGCTACTCAGAAGAGTTGGCCATAGATCAGGTCTCTGTATTTATAACCTAATGAACAGAAGCCTATCTGTTTACGTTCCACACTACAGTCAATCTACCACTGAAATAGCCTTCAAACATAAACATCAAAACAAAGTCATTTTCTATAATCTTAAGCTATATGAATATATATACCCTGATGGCTATCTTTGATAGTGGTCAACATGTAACTAACATAAAATTGGAATCTGCAAAGCCAAAAGGAGCTGTATCCCTTAGCAAAGATCGCAGATATTTACTATCTATATTTATTGCCACTATATCATGCAAATAAGAATATTTTTCTCATTTGTATTTTCTCTATTTTTTACTACTGTACACATTTAGGCACCCAGTTTTATTCCTCTGATCACTTACTCTGTGTAGACATTGGTGTCCTTCTTTTTTTTACAGATGAACAGTCTAAGGCCCTGAAAAATGACTTAGTTGGCTGGAATCTCTGTGCAAGGTAGTGGAAGAGCCAAAAATTTAACTAAGCATTTATTTAACCCCACACTTTTATTCCTTTAAATGCACCATGCTCTTCTTGCAGTAAAAATCTCATTATAAGGACCTGTATGGATGAAGAAAAAGACAAAATGAATCATCTGAGTTCAAATATGTACAATCTGAACTTAAATCTAGTGCTTTCACTGGATTTTCTTATGTTTTCTGCATGACTTGTACATGAGCAAATACATCATCATGTCATTCTTCACTCAAAGGGTGGTGAGGCACTGGCACAGGTTGCCCAGAGGTGCTGTGGATGCCCCATCCCTGGAGGTGTTCAAGGCGGGGTTGGATGAAACCCTGGGCAACCTGACCTAGTGGGA